TATAAGAACTAACAAACATATTTTCAAGTTCAATTAAGTGATGCATGAAAAAAAGGTACAACTTAGAGTTCCAGTAACTTCCAGTAAGTTTCTTGCAATGGAATCGTTACTCCAGGTCCAAGATCTCCATTCTCTTCTCATGCTCAATGTTGAGATGCTGGACCTTGAGATCATGCTCTTTCTGAGCAAACTCTAACAATGAGGCCTCGAGCGAGATGGATGCTTTGGGTGCAGGAGTTGGTGTCCTTGTTCTTGGTCTTTTGGTCCTTGAACATTTGAAAAGATAATGCAAAGTGTATGAGTTATGTTTAAACTTAAACTAATCCATCCATTGTGCCAAACCAAGCTGGCTTCACTACACTCCCTTCTCCCAACGTATTTTCCTTATCCTTATTTTTTCTGTGGTTGCCTTTTAACCTCTTTATTTTGTCTTGAACCCTGTCCCAGGGACTGTTGTTCTGCCAGGCTCTTGAATATGTCTTTATTACGGCAGCCAGCACTGGCAATCATCTTCTGAATATTTTTTCTCCCCACAAATCATCAATAAGAGAGTCTCCTGCCAACTCCAGGTAGACCCACCGTTGACCGTCCTTCAAATTCCAACATGATCTGGTCAAAAGATTAAATTAAATAATAGACAAAGTAGGAAACAGCATGGATTGTATGTCATTGTCGGTTGTCACTTCTCTTCTGATATACATGTATGTCAATTGTGCTACACTGCAAAAACAGTGGTGTTAAATTCAACACCATAGGTGTTAATATTAACACCATTCCGGTATCTATATCGGAAAACACCAGTTGGTGTTATTTAACACCAAGGTCTGGATTTGAATGATTCAATTCTACTCTTGGTGTTGCAATTCAATTCTATTTTTGGTGTTAATATAAAATCCTACACCATTTTCTGGTGTAACAATGAATCTGATTTCTGGTGTTATTTAACACCACCGCCTGGAATGAAATAATTTTAATTCTACTCTTGGTGTTGCACTTCAATTCTATTGTTGGTGTTATTTTACACCAATTCTAGAATTAAATAGTATAATTCTGCTCTTGGTGTTGCAATCCAATTCTATTTATGGTGTTAATATAAAATCCAGCACCATTCTTCGGTGTTGCAATAAATCCTATTTTTGGTGTTATATAACACTAAAGGTCTACTACTTTTCTACTCTTGGTATTGCAATTCAATGCTAGTCTCAGTGTTTAAAAAACTCAACACACCATTCTTTCAACACCAACAATTCATTCCAGCTCACTCCATCTTAACACATGCACAGAAAATATTCAAATACACACAAGAAGTGAAAGAAACAATTTTTTTTCGTAAACAAAAACACATGGTGCTTGTTTAATCAATAAATTAAACAACTTGTTTTCATTCATGTTGAAATCAATGATGCTTAGCGTTTTTATCTTGTATGGTTCAACATTAAATCCTTTTGTCATGTATTCAAAATCTGTGACTCATTTGTCTGAATACAACAAAACACACTTTTTTAAATCATTCAAAATCTGTTATTATGAATCCACCCTTATAAGTAAAAAAAAAAGGATGAAACAAGTAACTAAAAATCATTCAAAATCTGTTATTATGAATCCACCCTTATAAGTAAAAAAAAAAAGGATGAAACAAGTAACTAAAAATTTTCCAATATAAAAACTTTAAACAATGTCATAATTCCTTTCAAGGAATGAAAAATCAAAGTCGTTTCTAATAAATAGAAACTAAACAGGATGCAAAATGCATGTATAAATGAAGACAAAACAAAAAAAACAACAAACATTATGCTTCTACATCAGAGTGAATTATGTAGCTAATAAGAATTTTGACACATTTTACCTTGAATCCTAGTACATGCATGCTGAAGGAAAATATCACAGAATCTTTTTCATATGAAATATACAGAGTGCCCCCCCCCCCAAAAAAAAAAAACCTTGGAAACTGCTAGTATAATCTGCAGGCAGACTCTCGGCTTCGGTTTTTCGCAAGTTTCGTAGTGCATATTTCAGAGTCTGCAGTCAGAGACTACTTTCACTCATATCATGATCCCTTAAAGGGAGCATAACTGTATGTGTATATGTAGTCTCTAAATGCAGACTCTACATCGTGCACTATGCAAATTGCAAAACCGAAGCCAATGGTCTGTGCCCGCAGACTAATTATAGTATGACTTTAATTTCTTATGCTAGAACAATAGCAACACTAACAAATCTCATCCAGCAGTTTTGTTGAACAAGATTTTTTTACCACAGGCCTGCAACCATTGAGATTCAGGATGATTTAATTATTTCAGGGGATTTTTATCTCCTAGCTTCACTGCTTGTAAAGGGTTAAACAAATGTTTCAAAAACATTGAAAAAACACTATAAATTCTACATTCATTCTAATATAGGTGAACATTCTTTTACAGCTTTCTGTTTACAAACATATTCCATTTTACATCGTGCACTATGCAAATTGCAAAACCGAAGCCAATGGTCTGTGCTCGCAGACTAATTATAGTAAGGCTTTTTAATGTCTTATGCTAGGAAGCAGCCTTCAAGAACAATAGCAAAACTAACAAATCTTATCCAGCAGTTTTGTTTAACAAGATTTTTTTTTACCACAGGCCTGCAACCATTGAGATTCAGGATGATTTAATTATTTCAGGGGATTTTTATCTCCTTCACTGCTTGTAAAGGGTTAAACAAATGTTTCAAAAACATTAAAAAAACACTATAAATTCCACATTCATTCTAATATAGGTGAACATTCTTTTACAGCTTTCTGTTTACAAACATGTATTTCCCATTTTACTCCTGGGAGAAAAAATCAAAAAGTAAAATTATGCATTTCTATATCAACTAATTCGCTGCTCGTTTTTCCAACAGGATATAAACAACAACAACAAAAATCAGTCCATGCACTTCTAGTTCACTGGCTTTCATGCACAAACATCATAGAATTGTTTTTCTTGTAAGAAAAAAAAAGAAAATATACAACAGCTATTTGACTTCAATTTGGTTTCGAATTAACCAATTTAAAGATGTTAACAATTAAGAGTCCAAAATATTATTGATCAAAATTATTTTTAAAACCAATTGATACCACTAAGCAAAACCAGACATTAGCTTGAAAGCTTTAAATTACTTAAAAAGTACATGCCTTGGTGCTACATACTTCCTCGAGTCTGTCTTCGACAAAGTTGTCATCAAATCTAGTGGTTTGTAGTCAACAAGTTCCTTTTGATTCTTCACTACATGACAACGTGGAAAACTAAATTCTACTGCATAGGCATGATAGTGTGAATTGTAATACACTGTATCTAATTGGACAAGTACAAAAAATACAGTGCTATTGTGTACAATGATATGCTCTATTTGACCAAACAGAGGAAGCTCGCTAACATCATGGCAGACCAGAAGTGACAACTGATAATGTGTTCCATGTACTTTAACCCAGTTGGCATCAAATAATTCAGTAGAAAGATCCTCTACTTGGATTTGCTCTTGCACAATCTGTCCAATATTTTCATCTAAATCTGACAAAAGTAGTGAACTACCTGGCCCAACCTCCAGATATTCCAAAGGATGGTTTGACTGAAGATGGAACGTTAGTGCTGTCTGATGTTTTTTGGCAAGTGATTTACAAATGTTTTTGTAATTACGCACAGATTCTGCAACACGGCCAAAATAGTGATGTTTCGCTTCGTACCTCATACACCATACATGTATGAGTGGCCCAACTTCTCTCAAACACGTTGGATAATGCACCATAAAGTGGTGTTTTGGCAACAACCTTCTGTCAGGAAAGGTTTTCTGGAAATGTGTGTGATGTTCTTCAGTAAGAATAGACAATTGGGCTATCAAGCCTGCTGTCAATTGAGGAGCAAAAATAATGTCCATACAATCTAGTAATCTAAGTAGCAATTCCCAGTAGACATTTCCTTCTTCAATGTCTTGAGCAATTATGAATGGCAGATTTCGAATCAAGCACCATGCTTGCATAGCCTTCTGTCCAACATCATTACTAGCTGACCTAAGTTTAATAAAGGATGGTTTGTTCTTGTTATCTGTACGGTTTAAGCAATGGCTGGCGACTCTCTGATTCAGTTCATCTTGGGACAAGAGGGGCGGTTGCCTTTCATATATGAAATACTCTAGAACAAGTTTCAGCTCATACTGAACTATGCCTTCCAAAAGATCATGCATTATATCTAGTGAAAAGTTTGCCAAGACATGAAAGTAAATACAATCATTCAATACAGTCTTTTGTTTCACTCCAAACACATGTGACTGGGTAGTTTGAGCTTCAGCTTCTTCTAAATGTTGCTCATAAGTCTGCCTGGTGCGCATATCCATTGAAACCTCTTTGAATTTGTTCTGTGCCTCTTCCTTACTTGTAACACATAATCGACAGTAATAATGAGCAGAAAAGCTCTCTACAAATCCCAGTAGGGAATTAGCACCAAGATTATCAGCACTTATTTGAGTAATGGTCCCCTTCTTCACAATTCCATTAGGGAGAGCAATGCCAACTGTTGACAGGATATTAATGTCTTTTACAATGTGCTTGAGAATAGCATTAAATCCATATTTCTTGGCATCTTCAGCATACCATAGAGCTATAAGATTGATATTGGAAAGATTGGAATTATACTTTGGTGGCAGATTTTTCAAAATGAAATATAAAGCACCTATCTTGTGAATTTTTGTTTTTGAACCAATGGGGTTCACAGTCTCGAAATCATCATAAAAACAGTGAATTTGGAGGGCATTCTCATCTTCATGGAAAAGAGGGGTTTTCTCAAATTGTGAACCATCACAATAATCTCTCATTACACCATCTGTGCTCTTATGGTCATGAGTAGCAAAATGCAATATATCTTTATTGCTTAAAAGCTGCTTCAAAGAATCTAAAATGGGAACGTAAACAAATGTATCTTCAATAGCAATCTGTTCATACTGCTTAGTTCTTTTATTGAGACGACTATCATATCGGATGCCTATAACTTGATTTCTTGTGGTTCAACAAGTCCAATTGATTCACAATACTTTGTCCGCTTATATTCTGAATTCAAATTTTCAAAGGGCTTTTCAAGCATAGCAAAATGTGTTTGAATCTCCTTATAAGCCTCGGATTCTATAGGCAGCTTATGTTTTAAGAAAGCAGCTGTAACGGCTGCCGATGCACTTTTTACTACATCACCTACAATCGCACTGGTTGTTTCTACTACATCATTTACAACTTTTCCAGAGTTTGCACTATTTGCTGAAAATTTTGAAATTACATTTACACACTGCCTGTTCAAGGTATCTACAGATAAAATGTCATCTTCATATACATCCTGATCTTCAACAATCTCATCATTATTAATATTGTATTCTTGAAGACTTTCAAGACTTTTTCAGGAAAGTCACTCACTTTATCATTTTCATTAGACTGCTCTTTATTATCTGGAAAATCGGTTTTAAGGTGAGTCTGCAAATGTCCCCGAAATCCTCGAAAAGTATGAAATGTTCTCGCACAAGCTCCCTGCCCACAGGTCAATACTTCTTTACCATCTTCAATAACTCCATGTTTCAATCTCAAATGTTGAACCAATTTGGGTATTGCAAACTGTTTGTGGCATTTGAAGCAAATCATGGTGCTAACAATTTCGATCTAATTTCACGTACTCTTGGTGTTTCCCGGGACACTCCGATATCGATTTCAAAAATGGCAGTCTGGACAAAAGTCCAGAACTGCCGCAGAGACAAGCAGTACTGCAGGCCAAAGACAAAGTGGGTCTTGAAGAGTAAATCTACTGCTGCTTCGACCGTGCGTGCCGAACATGGAATGGCCTTGTGATCCACAATGATCATGTAGTTGGTGATTCGGGCCTTGGAATTGCCAATTGCCAGAAGGAACGGTTGACTCTTGGTCTCTTTTGTGTTGTCGAGGAATGCTTGAATACTCCCTCCTGTCTGTGTTGAAAACAAATTATTTGTATAGAATGTAACTAGCACTCAACGCATTTCAATACTCAACGCATTTCAATGAACAACATATTTCGATCAACATTTTTAAAAGACAGCCTTACATGTAGTACTGGGGGAAATTGTGTTTTTACAAAAGGGTTATTGGACAATAATGTAGGACATAAAACCAAATCAAATTTACATCAAAGAAAAGAATTGGAATTGGTCCATCAAATGATATAACATCAAAATATCAGATGATATTTTTTGTAATGAAATACAATTTTTCTTACCCTGTAGAGGGGTAAAAATGCAAGTACTTTCAAAGCTTGTTTTATGTATATGATTAAAAAGGGTCTTTCTAATGTGGTCAAGACATTTCAACTTCCACAAAAGGAGTACGAAAAATAAAGATACTGCAATTTCTGCACTATTATTAACTTGCAGCAAATTTGTGGCATGAAATATTCCTTTTCATTTATTGATTCTCCATGTAGGGCTGTGAAAATCAAAGGCAACATGCCTGATATATCACACAAGTTGTTACTATGTTTTCATACACAACATGTTCCTAGTATTTGTTTGCAAATCTTGATGTCTACTGTTCTAGTTTATTTTACTCCGACCAATTTCAAGGCGGGTGAAGTTTTTGAATAGGCCTAAATTTCTCGAGCACCTTCTCTGTCCAAATCAGTCTAAGCCTCTTCATGTAAGAGATCATAAACCAATATAATTGTTCTCTTTGAACACACATCACGATGCTTTCTGAAACTTTTTTTTTAATGCAGCAAGAATGTGTTTTATGTGACAGGGTATTACCGGTACTTAATATTTACAGTTCTCTTTCGTAATGAAAAGCTAAATACCTTCTGAAATTGAATAACCCTCGAGAGAGCTGAAGAAATGGACACTTTTGCTGACGCAGCTTTGGACTTCCCTTGGCTTGCAGGAGGCAATAGGCACAAGAGGAGGAGGATAGCAGATGTGCTGGAATTCCATCCTGTGCATTACAAAATGAAAATGGTTATTATTAAACAGGCTTACATGTTGATCAAGGTGAAAAATAGAAGTTAAATGTACCAAAATAATTACAAACTGACCTGCTAAAATTTGAATCAAAATAGCCTGTAACAAGAAACTATTATAAGAAATAAGTATATAGTCGAGGACTTATCAATATTATAGCCAAAGCATGCAAGTGGCTGTTAATGCAGTTTAGGGGTACTAAACCAAAAATCCAATTGATGCCAGCTTGGCACCCTTGGAGAAATTTTACTGACACTTATAGCAACGCCTTCTTCTTCTTTCTTATGAGAATTTATACAAAGGGGGATGGGAAAAAAGAAATCAATAGGAAAATAATAAACGGGATATTTATGCATGGGAGAAGGCAACATTCATGGCAAAGCACCTAACCTAGATTGTTCTCTGTTGACACATATATAACAAACTCTTTAGTAGCATAAGTTCATGTTTTTTTTTTTACAATTTTTTTCTTGTTCTACTGAATTTAACATGCTTCTACCCAATTTGACATCCTTTTCATGATTAAATCACAAAAATTGCATCAATACTGGAATCAAATGTTGCAATTAACAATTTATCAAATATGTCCCCTATGGGCCACCATATTTTTCAAAGTTAACTAATGAAGAAAAACAAAAATATCATGATTTTCTGAATTCTAAAGCATTTATCTTCAAATAAAGACAGAGTAAACACAAGCAAGCTGCTAATATGTAAATGCAGGGTCCTGTGGGGTCGATTCAAGTTCATATTATAAGATAATAAGCCATGCATATCATATCTGAGGAAGAAAAATAACAAAGTGAACATATAAACATGATGCTTTGTTTCAAAACAGAAGCTCATTCTATTTCAAAAGTAATGATTGGCAATGTGATAATCCTTATAAAGATTCCACAATGGGCCATGCAACAAACTTTTTTCTTCATAATTATATAAATTTCTTCTTCATAATTATATAATTAATATAATAAAAGAATTATGGAGAGCATGTTCCAACTACAAATAACTTTGCCAAGTGGGCATGTAATGTAATTTTTTGTAATTCTCATTGCAACAAGAGTCCACATTATTTGAGATGCCCAATAACCCTACTGTATCCCAGCCTTCCAGATAAATATAATTTGTTGGAGGAGTTGACAAAAAAAAGGGGGGGGGGGGGAATTGTTTTAATTGGGATGGGTCATTTTTTGTGATTTCAGCATACTTGTCCCTTAATATACATTTTTAATGAGACTGCAAGCTCTTTGGTGGAATTCTCAATGGTGGTTTAAGACCAAGGTCTAAACTTGGTTCAAAACCATGGATTGGATTAGATTTGCATGTATTCTAAAACTTGTCCAATGAACATGCTTGTGTGAAGCACATATATGCTCAAATTTAAACTAACCTATCAATGGTTTATCCATGGTCTCAAATAAACCACCATCAAGAATTCCACCCTTTATGACATCGGAGGGTGCATTCAAGGGAATGTGCAAAAATACCTTCTTTATTTTGATCAGAACTGTCATAAGATGACAGAAGCTCCATCACTGTCAAGTTTCCTTTCTGCTTCAGAAGTTGTCTTGCAAGTGTAACAACCTTGGGCTTCAACTCGGGCCATTTGGTCAGGAAACGCGAGTGATTTTCAGGAAAAAGTTTCCGAAAATCTACCTCAATCTGCAAGAATACATGTAAAAGGAAAACGGGGAAAAGAGAGAAAAAATAAACTATGCATAATTTTACAGTACAGATACCCCAGTTAGACTAAATCAGCAATATAATAAGGTACCGTCAAAGCTCAGACCCCCATATATACACACCCCAGATCCAGGAAAAGGGGATTCTTCAAATATTTATCTGAATAGCAACCACTAAGAAGTACTTTTGAAGGTCTCTCTACACAAAATCCATACATGAATGAAACTTGCTGGACCTTTGAAATAGATTAGATTTGCTAGATATCACTCATGTTGATGCTCACTGTCCAAAGGTACATGACAACCAGTAATGGTGATTGTTCACCAACAGACAGTCACATGCGGTAAATACAGATACAGATTGAAGGATAAAACTGGCAGAATCTTCGGACTGATATTTTCAAAATCTCAAACATATATAATAAAACAGAGAAATATGAATTTGATGCCTCAGTGCCAAGTAATAATTCTGATGCTTTAATTCCCATACACATAATTTTGTTGCCTTAGGCCTGAGAGGCTAAATCAAGAATTAGGAGTAAATTTTTTTGTAACACTTACCAAACCTGGAACAGTTTCAAAAGGAAACTGTTCCAAAATATCCGATGCGGAGCGTCCGTCCCTGACCATATGCTGTCTAACAGGAAAAGTGGATTTCATCTTTTCAACAACCAGGGTAGAATCACGTTCTAATGTTGGACAGTGTCGTAACCAGTTGAGGTCTTCATCATAGGTGCAGCCTGGAGCAGATTCTTGGTCACCTTCTCGGACCTTCCCAGGACCACCATCTCTGCTTGATGGCTTGGGTAATGGGTTGGATGTCTTCTCCTCTGTTGTGCGGTTAACATTTTTTATTCTAGCAGCCAGGAATCCCGTGTTACTTCTTGCATCAAAATAAGCTTCCTAAAGTGAAAGAACGAGATGAATCTTTGACCGCGTGGTTGAAAATGTATGTATAAGCTTTTTGTTGATAATATTAACCTTGAAATGATGCACAAAATGATGTGATGAGAAATTGTAGTTTTCAAAGAAATTTTAGCAAAGTAGCATTAGTGTCATATAATGCAAGCATCTTGACTTTGATACAAGGAAGCAGCCATCACTCTGCCCCACTTCAAGAAAAAAAGAGTTTTGAGTGGTTGTGAAGGAGAGTAGAATGGTATCATACATTTCTTATTGGATATTGTGCCAAAGATGGTGGAGTGTGACCTACACAAGATAAAATTTAAAAAAAAAAATTCTTCTCAGAATATAATTTAGAGAGATTTTGAGGGTATTTTTATCTTATCAGAGTATCATAAGTTTTCTTTTGATTAATGGAATGCAATACCTTCTTATCAGAGAGGACCATGCAGGGCCCATATTCAATTAAATACTTCAGTCAGAAAAATAAATATTTTTTCTTAGATTTTTGCTCGGATAAAATACTTTGCAGATTTTGGTATTCAATTCATAAATTTGGCTAAGTATTTTACTTTAAATTTAAGACACCTCTAGAGGAGACTTAAGCCAAAGCATTTACAAATTTAACTGGTAGATGAAGGCTTACATGTATGTGCGCAGTCACTCTCAGCTGCGGAGAATTATGAAGTAGCGCATTTTTGGTGCAATGTGTTGATTGCGCATCATTTGGTCACAAAATCGTGATGTCACAATGCCTCTCAATAAGTATTTTACTTAAATTTTGACTTACTAAAGTAAAATGCTAAGAACTGAATTGAATACAAAATAAGTAAATACCTTAGCCAAAATACTTAGTAAAAAAACTTACTTAGTCAAAGTATTTATTTGAATATGGGCCCAGATTATAATACTTACATGACCTGTGCTAGTAAACGGATCCTTGAGTCTTGGAAACAGATTCACTATCCCCATGGCATATTTGGTTTTCATAGCTGCTTTTGGATGTTTGCTGTGAAATAAGAAAGCACATCTCCTGTATGAGAATTACAGTCATATGGACTCATGACTGGCTCTATTAAAACAGAACTTAGTATGTTGATAACAAGTAGCATACCCCTAGTGGTCTCGTCTGCATCATATAATTTGCTATAGTTTAGTATTTTTTTATTACTTTAAAATCTCAAAATATCACATGGTTAGTTCATAATACATTTATAAAGTGAGGCCTCATGACGATGAGGCCGCTAACATCTACGGCATTAATCTATTTTAACGTAATGACCCAAAAATGTCACTCACAAGACTGGTAATACCTGATAACCATCATGTGCAAATCACATTTAAAACTAGATGAATCTTCGACCACGCACGGTCAAAATTTAAGCCTCTGCCATCATGCGATCAGAAAGATATTATTGCTTGTTCCATGCCATTGGAAATCCGAAACATTTTGGGTGATTTTACAAATTTTGGGCACTATGAACTTTGACCCCGTGAACCCAAAATCTTCTTCCTCCCATGCTAATACATAATTGAGCTAGGTTTGAAAGAAATTAGTTCAATTTGTCTGAAGTTATAGCAATATCGAGCTTTTTTCGGGTAATTTTTTACAATTTTTGTTTGGCCCTGTGACCTTTGCCCTTTGACCCCCTAAACCCCAAATCTAATCAGTTCATCCTCACATGTATATAAATACTTGTGTCAAGTTTGGTAAAAATCCGTCCAGTAGTTCTGAAGTTATCGTGGTAACAAGTTTCCGACGGACGGACGCACGGACGGACACACGGACGCACGGACGGAAGGACGGACGGACAACCCCGAAAACATAATGCCTCCGGCACCACCTGACGGTGGCGGAGGCATAAAAAATGAATATTTTGAAAAATGATTTTGAAGAGACAACAAATTCCTTTAAAGTTGACCATGTTACCTCAGTTTCTTTTCACATAATTGGTAGTACCTGATAATTATTATGTGCATTTACACAATCATAAAAGAAAATTTGCTGGCACTTACCCATAGTGTTCTTGCATGTGGGCTACCAAAAGGTTAATCATCTGCCGTCTAGTTTTATCTTGAAGTGCTCCAGTCAATTCATACTCTCGGAGAATGGCATCACCTCTGTGCCGCAAAATTTCTTGTACAAACTGCAAACAGGTAAATCATCCCATTAAGTCATAAATAAACATATTGAGTTTATAATGCACTTTCAGGCACTTTAATTCATACTGACCTTTCTAAGGGCACGAAATTTTATGAATGACTATGAATTTATATAGGTACATTATGATATTAAAATTGATATATGGCCAATAATCATAAATTCTAAATAATAATATATTTATTTATAGAGCTTGAAATAGTTTAAATATTGTTAAATACACACTCCCACAAACACCCCAAACACACATATGCACACACGCACATACACACACACGAGGGGACACATGAGGCTACAGGTAAATTTGTGTTTATTGTAATGCGAGTTCCTTCTACTTAATATAGACATGCAAGCCCAATGCCATGGGGAGACCGTCTAAAGTGCCCTGAACAGTGTTCATTACTTTCATATCCACAAACAATACAGCAGGAAACTATTCTATGTTTGGGATCATCATGAACACTACAATAAAGGTTATGTAACAATCGATGCATCTCATCTTCAACTTTTTAATTTTGATATTAGTCCTTTTCCTTGATACCCTCAGAGGTCTATATGGAACCAGATCATGAGATGTATTATTCGATGATTATTTACCTCATTTCTCTTTCCCATTTCTAAAACATTTCATAAAATTTGGCAATTCAATTTAAACCTCTAGACATAATATCATTTGTTTGAAATCATACCACCCATTGGAAGAAAATGAAACTGTAAAAGTTTATGGAAAACTTATGACAGATGACGAAGCAAAAAAGATGGCCAATATCTTACAGGAGTCGTCAGCTTAGATGTACCAAAAAAGAAATCAAATTAGTTGCCTAATGTTAACCTATACCATTACAAAAACCTTACTACAGGAAATATTAATTTACAATGTTAGTTCTAACTACACTAGATGTATTTTTTTTCTCCCAATATCATTTTCAATTTTAAATAATATGAAATCCGTATAGGTGATGAGTCCCTTATATTATGTTGATTATGATAGCTGAGATTGAAATGAAGCAAACAATTTTTTCTTAACCTTACCTCACAAGAGTTGTCAGTGATTGCACCTGATTCACTGAGGGCATTTAATCGTGGCCTCTTTCTACTGGAGCAAAAACTTGAATCAGATTCTGAGCTACTCAGGGAAGAGGAGCTGGTATCCACCTTGATAGTGTCTGCACTTGTGATGCTATGTACATCTGAACCTTTAATAAAGAAAAAAAGATATAAAGCCATGAGCACTGTTAAAAAACAATGAATACTGGCATCTTAAACTTTGGTAGAATTGAATACAGTTGGGCCTCCTTTATCCCCACACTTGGGATCAGCACTAACATGCATAAGGGAATCCTATATTCAAAACATGCAGTTGCCGAGTTTGAATGAATGCATGTTTCTGATCATGAAAAATTGAATTGAATGTGTAATAACAATGTTGGGAATAATGTATATAAGTAACCCAAATAGTTTGCGATATTACGAGTATGCTTGAAATCTTTGTTGGTTCCGCTAATTATTTGAGTAAAATAGGCAAATTCTCAAGTGATCTGGATAAAGGAGACTGGATAAGGGAGGTCCAACTGCATATAAATTTCTATTAGTCTAAAACCATCAGAAACCAGCTAAGTTATATTGGTCTGACACATTTGTTAATTTTATAATACTTGAGCATTTTTTAATGGACAATTTGTTAATTGATGCATTCATTCATGTCTAAGTGAATTATAATACTAGCATTTAGAAATGTTCAATTACTTTTCCATTGGACTGTTCCCAATGAAACCAATAGGTCTGTCCAATATAATCCAACAGAATTCTTTCATGATGGTTTTCTATAAGTATAAGACTAACAGAAAGAAATTGTTGGATTCCTATTATTGGATCAGCAAAAATTTTCTGATGGATTTCTAATGGACCAACAGAAGTATGTGTTGGATTTCTATTGGAGCAATATAACCTTTCTGCTGGTTTCTATGGGTCCTTTATTTCCCTTTCCCTATTGAAACCATTAAACTTATTGGTTTCTATGGGTCCAATAGCCCTCACCTCGTGCTATCACACAAAGCAAACAGAATCAAAATCAGATGAGAAATGGCATAGGAGTGGCCTTTTGTAGGATTTTGAAGCAAAAGGTCAAAGATCATACACAGACACGCACAGAAACACACAAGTATGGCGCCCGTTTCACAGTCCCCTCCTCAAATTTGTTCGGTGGGGTCACAATTTAAATTAAAGACATTTTTTTTTTAAATGCAAGTTTGCATTGTTAAAAAATTCAATTTGTAAGAATCTGTAATTTTTATAATCTTTAGACTTCGAATTTAGATCATTGACCGCCCACAAATCACGGCTCTTGTGGCAAGGTTACGTCATCAAAAAAGGGTAGGTTTTTTTTTCCTCCACCAAGTTTTGAGACCTGTGCCTGTAATTTGAACTGCACATTCATTTATTGCTTATGAAAAGCAAAATGTTAATTCCCTAGACTCTATACAGCATACAAGCCTACACTGTACCTGCTACCAGACGAACGCTGACTCATTTTAACATGCATGCACATACAATGATCAGTGGCGGATCCAGCAGGGGGCGCACCCGGCATGTGCCCCCTCTATATTTTGAGAATTACCTCGTGAACATACACATTACTAAGGTTAAATTGTGATCTGCGCCCCCTCTTTATTTTTAATATGCTCTTTGCACCCCTCTAACTCTATTTTAAAATCCTGAATCCGCTACTGATGATATCACATTTAGCAGGGATTTGCAATTTTGTATTATAATGCACTTTATCCAAAACTTACCAGACCATTCTTCATCTTCTTTTAGCACCATGAGGCTGACTGTGGGATTGCTGGTCACCACATCTCCTAGTACGTCATCGTCTATACCAAACCCTTCTTGTTCATCCACAAGTACGAGATCTTCCCCATCCCTTATGTGGAATTTTCTTCTGACTGTAGGAGAGATTAAATAAATGAGAATAAATATCACAGTGCACTTTTCAGTTTCTTACAGATTGATGGCTCAGTCATAATAAACGAATGCTGCAAAAACTGCTGCTACAAGCCCAACTGTGCTATAGTATACAAATAACGCACGTCCCAGAGTGCAATAGCGGTGAATGCAGTACGCGCGAGGTTTCTTTATATTGGTGCCGCTCTGTGCAACAAGCCGCTTGCGGCGAGTTGACAGTGCGAACCATCTGAAGAAACCGAGCGAACACTGCATTTACGTTTCGCACAACAGGGTCAAGTGCGTTATTTGTTTTATAAAATAGCGACACAAACAGCAACAAACAAAAGTTTAGATCTTAAGTATACGAGAGTTCGATCTAGATCTAGAGTTATGTTGGTTCTAGAAATAAAATGAGGGTCTAAGACCTTGCAGGCTTACCAAAAAGTCTACAGGATTCATTGTTTGATTAAAAATAAAATGCATAGGGTGTCTAGAGACGAGTCTACATCAGACAGCTGAAATTCCTGGCTTCATTATAAAATCCAAAAGTCAAAACGGGTCTAAATCCAAGGCAAAAGTAAAACAAAAATTTGCTTTCTAATAATACCCCGCTCTAGCTAGAGCTAACGCGTACGCTGCGCTGGGGATCATGGTGGATCTTGGAGCGTACAATATTAGCTACGCGTAGCCTATAGCCTACAATGCACTCGAGGGAGCGTACTACGCGTACGCGCGCGCACTGGATCCCCATGGTCACGCGTACGCACCGTGCAATATAACTTTTTACTGCGCTTTTTCTGCACTCATTTCTGCAAAATCGTGCTTGCATCAAAAATTTGTCAATGCCATGTGACGCGTATTGACCAATCACGATGCTTAAAATACTAGGCTAGATCTAGAGCCATTTTATAATACACCCTAAAACTGTTAAATGGGACATCAAGCTCAACCGGGGGTGGAGTTTGGACTGTTGTGTGCGCTACAAATAGTCTAGATCTAGATCTAGATCTAGAGATTGAATTTCCATGTTTATTATTTTTGCATTTTTTTTATTACATGAATGGGGTAGATTTCTAGATCTAGTCTAGATCTAACGTTAGATCTACTAGATCTAGATATCTAGGCCTAATGTCAATGCAGATCTAACGTTAGAACTCTAGATCTAACTGTTAGGCCTAGAAATCTAGAGTCTAGATCTAGTCTAGACTTCTAGATCTAGATCTAGATCTAGCCTAGACCTGATATTTTTGCAAAAACCCAGGATTAGGCCCTAGACTAGGTCTAGATCTACTGATTTTTCCTTTACATTTTGAAACAAATATGTATTAAATAACAATATATAGACCTAGATCTATCATGAATGTTTGCCCTTTGGAGTATTTATCAATGATAATTTTTCAGAAATCCATAAAATATTAAATGGCATCATGCTGACCGGATACCCAACCCGGCCGGACAGCCAAGGCATAGTAGGCCTAGACCTCTAGGCCTGGGCTACCCAACGACAGGCGCGGCTAGCGCCAGCTGACGAACACGTAATACTATAGGCTAGATCTATAAAAGTTTATAACAAACAAGAACCATGTACACTTACTGAGTTCAAAGAATCCTACTGTGTCTTCTGGATCTATAGGCAGGTATTTTCTAATACTTCGATCCGCTGAACAGACCCTGACGCTTAATGGCATGGTTGCATGCACTTCGATCACTTCACATCTAGAATCTAGGCCTAATTTGAAGAATTACTACTCCAGAATCAAGACTTCAAGTCAGTGCCAGTGAAATTCTCTAGCCACATGCTCTCGTCTAGCTGTGCGCGCGCAGCTGCAGAGGCGCATATCGGATCATATGACAACTTTCGTCCAATGATTTTCGTCGAATTCTCTAGCTTATGCGCATGTGCGATTTTATAACACCAAATATGACACCATCAGCCTGTAATTGAATATTTTCACACCGTTGGTGTTATTTTTCGCCAATCGGACATGAAATGAACACCAAGGGTGTTGATATTTTTCTATTCCATGCTGGTGTTGAATATTTAACACCCTGGTTTTTGCAGTGTAAGCATTTCTTCATGAAGCAACTTCCTATCCTCCACCAACACTTCTCTAGATATGTCATTCACATACACAAGATGACCTTGACTCTGCATGTGTGGTTGAAGAAAGCACAACTTGGGAAAGGTTTTCATGAAGCATGACTTCAAGTTGCCTGTTTTGTAGGTATGTACTGGCATCAATATCATGAGTTTCCTTCACCTGCTTAATAGACATCTGATTGAGTCTGGTCACCCTGCATATTTCCTTGTTATCAATTATTTTGGTTTTGATAGTAGAGCAAAATATAGTGTATGCTTCAGAGTACTTCGAGTCTTCTGTGGTAATGGCTTAAGCGATTGATGGCTTGCTTAGATAACGAGTAAAATCCTTGTAACAGGAGGCATGATATTAGACATTGATTGCCACACAGTCCTACTCCTAATCTTGGATTTGGAGAAGTTGCCTTAGGCTGCCTGCAGTAAATTTGCTGCTTCTATGGTTGAGCATTTGATCAGCCCTTCTTTTTTACTTTCTGGATACTCTGCAGGTGATAGTCTTTTCATTTTTACAAAGGACACATATGCTTTGTAGTGCATGCTTTGATCTTGTCACCCCCTTTCTGAAATTCATTTAATACGAAGCCCATATCTCATATCGTGTTGATGATCATCAACAAAAATTCTTAGCACTTGACACTTCATAATCAATCAGGTTAATATTTAACATATTTTACACAATTATTGCAAAATATTCAAGATGCAAATAAATCTTCTCTTGGACCCCCCCCCCCCCCCCAAAAAAAAAAAAATAAATAAATAAATAAATAAATAAATAAAAAAAAAAAAATAATAATACATTAATGAGTGGAGGAAAACAAAGAGGAAATTTGGGTTAAAATGGATGTCTTTCTTACTGAATTGATATGAAAGAGGCCATGACTTCTGAATGAATTATTTCAATAATGTTTATGACTCCAAAATAAAAATGATATTGTCATTAGAGGACATGAAACAAAATCATTTCTCTTTATAGTTTTTTCTTGATACCCATTGACGAATAAGAATTGAATTGAATATGAAAAATTAACAACAGCTGGAAATATTGATAATCAGGTGATATAGGGGAGGTGTCCGAAACAATACTTGTTCACTTTATGAATTGAAAATAGGAAACCAATATGGTACATGTACATGTTTTAATACTGTACAGTAAATATTTTACACACCTGTACACCCCGTTCCTATCCTTGAAGAGGTTTTCCATTCCTCCAGATAATGTGCCAATGTATTTTAGGCATTGGCTGTATTGGGAGGCACTATCCACCTCCTGTACCTTCTCCTCTCCTTCCTCGCTAGACGAGGCAGCCCCAGCAAATCTTAAATATACCTCATATCTATCAAAGAAGTCATTGGTCCGAGGGTCCCAGTCTGTTCGTCTTGCATTTCTAGTCTATGGCATGAAACCCCTACATTTGGTCAATAATGTCATAAACAAGATTATATGCCTTCTTGCTCTTTTCTTGTTCCGTCTTGTTCATCCTCTTTTTCATGCCCTTTAATGCCTTCCTCTTTTTCCCCGCACATTTTCTTGCAAGCTCTTCAAAGGAACCCGCATTCTCAATATGAGATACACCTCGGGGGGAACGTTGAAAGCCAACAATCTTGACCATGTGGTCTCCATTAACCTTCATCTGGAGAAGAAAAAAAAATTCATAATTAATCCTTTGCATTCTATCAGAGGTCCAATGTTTTTATGCTCCCCTCACACCAATGACTTATAAATGAAATAAATGTGAACTTGTATTAATAGTATGAGACTAAATGTATGACAAACATAATTCTGAACCAACTTCTGCCAATATTGGATATGAATATCCATCTTTACCAAATGCATTGATCAAAAAGGAGCCATTTCATTTATGAATTCTATCTATGACATTTGCCCTTTCACCGAATGACCAGAATCAGATTTCTCACTCAAATATGCATTATATGTACCACATGTGAAGTTGATTCGTCAAGTGGTTTTTAAATTACTATATTGCAAGAACAGGCCATTTTCATGAATCCGCCGGCATGACTTCCCTCTTCTTTTCAGGAAGAAGGGTTTACCCCTCAATTTGAATTTTGAAATGTAATGAGGCTGCATGATACTGAAGATTATAAATGGTTACGCAACCTCTTATTTTATCTTGGATTTCACTCTCCCTTCTCTTAACCCTTGGCTTTAGGGATGTGCCAATGTGATTTATCAGTTTCTCCATTCTTGTGACATGCTCAATATCCAAGTTAAGGTCCTTCCTATCTTCCTTCTCAATGTGGAGCATTTCACAAGCTTTCCTCATTGCTGTGAAGTACTTATCAATTGTTTTGGGCTTGAATTTCTTGACCTTTCGGAGGTGTTCACAAAAACTGGAAATAATAAATGGAAATTAACATTCATCTTGCTCATATTCGAAGAGGTTCATCATGTTTTTCACTGTTTCCACGATCTTCTCGTCATCATCTCTATCTCGTTTCATTCGTCTCCGGTCTTCCATCCATGGCTCCACATTCATGTGTGATAGACCCTCTTGCATGGTGAGACCAGATCCATCGGTTGACAGCTCTTTTGCTAGAACTGAAGCCTACCATCCCACCCTTTGTTTTGTTATCCCGGTTGGTTGGCCGTCTGCTTGATTGTCTGGTCACAGGCAACTTTAGAAAAGGCATTGTGGCTTCTTTAAACAGCAAAGTTTCCTTCTAGATACTCATGATGTATCACAGGATGGATGCCAAATAAACTGGCAGGTCCTAATTTATTCCAGTTAGAAACTGTATATAATGGCCATCCCGACGCATACAACTTACTGAATATTTCCTCCATTTTGGTGGGATTGATCTGAGGGCATGCCTCCTTCTCCTGCCCATTGGCATTGGAGGTAACCCTGTCAAACTATGAGCCGCCATTTCTTGTCTTGAAACCGATTCTGTCATGATGTCTTTAACAACCTTTATGAAAGCTTTGATACCTTTATGACAAGTTTATCATCAATGACTCTTGCAGCTTCTACTTCGGCACAGGTGAGCGCTTCGCAAATTCCCCCTCTCCCAGCATTCTGAAAGAACACCTCTGCGATGAGAAAGTTCTGTATTGCCGTAACGGCATTCCAGCTCCTCGTCAAGTTTTGCTTTAAAAACAATTAAAATCAAAATCAAAATTATCAAATTAACATTAACATGCCTCCTTCTCCTGCCCATTGGCATTGGAGGTAACCCCGTCAAACTATGGCCGCCATTTCTTGTCTGGAAAAAGATTTTGTCATGATGTCTTTGACAACCTTCATGAAAACTTTGATACCTTTATGACAAGTTTATCATCGATGACTCTTGCAGCTTCTACTTCGGCACAGGTGAGCGCTTCGCAAATTTCCCCTCTCCCAGCATTCTGAAAGAACACCTCTGCGATGAGAAAGTTCTGTATTGCCGTAACGGCATTCCGGCTCCTCGTCAAGTTTTGCTTTAAAAACAATTAAAATCAAAATCAAAAGTATCAAATTAACATTAACATGCCTCCTTCTCCTGCCCATTGGCATTGGAGGTAACCCCGTCAAACTATGGGCCGCCATTTCTTGTCTGGAAAAAGATTTTGTCATGATGTCTTTGACAACCTTTATGAAAACTTTGATACCTTTATGACAAGTTTATCATCAATGACTCTTGCAGCTTCTACTTCGGCACAGGTGAGCGCTTCGCAAATTCCCCCTCTCCCAGCATTCTGAAAGAACACCTCTGCGATGAGAAAGTTCTGTATTGCCGTAACGGCATTCCGGCTCCTCGTCAAGTTTTGCTTTAAAAACAATTAAAATCAAAATCAAAATTATCAAAGTAACATTAACATGCCTCCTTCTCCTGCCCATTGGCATTGGAGGTAACCCCGTCAAACTATGGGCTGCATTTCTTGTCTGGAAAAAGATTTTGTCATGATGTCTTTGACAACCTTCATGAAAACTTTGCTACCTTTATGACAAGTTTGTCATCAATGACTCTTGCAGCTTCTACTTCGGCACAGGTGAGCGCTTCACAAATTCCCCCTCTCCTAGCATTCTGCAAGAACACCTCTGGGATGAGAAAGTTCCTTATTGCCGTAACGGCCTTGCTGTTTACCGGCTCCTCGTTAAGTTTTGCTTTAAAAAAAATCAAAATCAAATTAACATTATAAATGAGAAATACATATGGGTTGGTTTGCAATAGGCATTTTTTGTATTATGTACATGTACTCATACTAATAACTCCATTTTGATAAAATTTGTTTTTATCGCCTTTTAAAATTAAGCTCTTCATATACTTTTTGAGCACAGGTCCTCGTCGACGTGACCTGGTCAAAAATCTCTCCCTCCCTCCTTAAACAAATTAACACCATAACCTGTTCTTCCATTCGGTGAGACATGACAACAACAAAACAGCAAAATATAACAGCAAAATACAACAGCAAAATACAACAGCAAAATATAACAGCAAACAGCAAAAAAAACAAAGATAGAAAAACAAATTAGACAAGTAAATGTGGAAACTATCATACGATGACGAGTCGAATCACACGCAAGCTGGCGTTGAATGAAATTACCTCAATCCCTGCTGCTGTGTGACAGGCGTGATGTTTGCGGAGCGTATGGGCAGGGCATCGCCACTGGTTGGGAACCACTGGGCTGGCCCAAAAGAGAATATAGGACATCCAGTTGCTAGATGTCCTTACACGGCTGACAGATACCGGTTGGCTTGTGGGTGGCCACCACCTTTATCCCTGCTGCTTCTGCAAAGTTTCTCTGCCAGCTTATCCACTCCTTGAGCATCTTCCTCCACCTAAATCAAAATCATGTCTGTTTTTTACAATTATGGAAGATTTTCGCCAAATACCCATGATGATGCATTCTGGTATCAAATATATAATTTTGCAACTCACACATGCTTCAAGTTGTGGTAAATGCAGCAAGGGTGGATGGTTGTGTTTGTATTGTGCTTGTATTGGCACAATCAGAGCT